ATATATATATATATGCGATTCAAATTATTGAGAGATTTTTTCTTATATGAAATGTATTTTCAAAGAGACCTAATTCCTTGAGTAGTCAAATTATAGGAATTTATATTTAGAACTAAATGCCTGGGGTTTAGGGGTGGAGGGGGTTGTTTGTTTTACTTTCCAAATAATTACTAGCAGATTCCATAATTGTGTGGGATCCATCTATTTTACCAGATGTACTGAACTTGGCGTTGTTAGAAGGGCTGTTCTGCCGCATTCACATATCCTGCACCAAGTAAGAAGGGCACCTGGTCGTTGGTGTGTGTGCTGTACAACTTAGCGATTTTCTGAAGCCTTGTGGTCACAGTCAGGACATAAGGCGCCCTGGGCCCCCAGGCGAAAGCAACTTGAAGGGAGTGTTACTGAGAGAATCTCTGAAGAGCGTGGGAATTCTGGCTGGGAATTCTGGCGCGAGGAAAGGACATGGATAAAGAAGAGTGGAGGAAGGGGAAAGCTTGCATTTTGTATCCTGAATACCTGGGTTCTGCTACTTGTAAAACTGTTAAGTCCCACCTGGGAAAATCACTTGTGTCTTGTTTTCTCCTTTGTACAAGGCTACACTTGTTACATTTTCATGGCCGTGTATATTCTGCCTGTCTCCATGGGCCCATCCGGTTGGCCCCAAACACCCTCGGGTCAGTGCTGTGGGGAGGCAGCCTAGCATGTGGTAAGAGCAGGGACTCTGGGGGCACACTGGAGTGGAATTCCAGCTCTGCTTGCCACTGGCTGTGTGGCCCTGGCCAAGTTACTTAACCTCTCTGTGCCATGGTTTCCTCAACTGTGAAATGGGGATAATAATAGGACTTACATGTTTTTTTTGAAGAGCATGTTAGAGTTCTCCAGAGAAACAGAACCAATAGGATGTGTGTATAATATATGATATATTGTGTATATATGTGTATATGTTTGTGTGTATGGGGGGCAGGGAAAGAGAGAAAGAGAAATTGATTGGTTGATTGAGTGATTTAAGGAATTGACTTGGCTGATGCAGTTGTGGAGGCTGGTAAATCCAATATCTGCAGGGCACACCAGCAGGCTGGAGACCCAAGGAAGAGTTGATATTGGGGTTGGAGTCCAAAGGTAGTCTGCTGGCAGAATGTCCTCTTCCTTGGGAGAAGTCAATCTTTTTCTTAAGGCCTTCCACTGATTAGATGAGGCCCACCCATGTTATGAACAGTAATCTGTGTTACTCAGTCTACTGATTTAAATGTTCACCTCATCTTAAAAATACCTTCATGGCAACATCCAGATGTGTTTGAACAAATAGCTGGGGACCGTGGCCTAGCCAAGTTGACACACAAAATTAACCACGCCAAGGAGTAAATGAGTTAATATTTGTAAGAAGTTAGTACAGTGCCTGGTATACATAGCAAACATGCCCTAAGAGTTCATTAAGTAAGCAAAGGTCTCCCCATTCTGTAGAAGGCTTCCCACTCTATGCCATCCAAACCACTTTCCCAGATTCCCCTGAGCCCAGATTTCTTGAAGGATTGTTCCCCACATGCCACCTGTATTCCCTGACCCTCAGCATTCCCACTTCTGCCTCCCCTCTCTCCTAAAACAAGTGTCACTAGTTCCACCAGCAGCTGCGTGATTGTGAAAGCAGGCGACCTCCTCATCCTCTTAGAGGTCTCTGCAGCATTTGATGGTTTTCCTTCCTCTGTAGAGGGTCCTCCTCCCTTGGATCTTAGACTCAGTGTCCCCCCCGGGTCCTCCTGGTCTGCCAGCCTCCTGGCTCTGCCCTGCACCCAGCCCCTAACTTACTTTCTATGCAGCCGCTGGGGCATCTGACCCCTTCCCACACCCCCCCAGCCACCTACGCACCCAGGTCTGATTCTCCTCTCTGTGTGTCTTGCTGTCTGTTAGACATCTGTTTCTGGCATCCTTCAGGAAACTCAAATTCAACATGGCTGAAACGGTGACTCAAATTCAACATGTCTGAAACGGAGACTCATCAGCTCCCTCACGCTAGCCTCTCCTCCTGTTTGTTTCTGTTTCTTCCCTTGACTGAGGGTGTCAGCTTCCAGACCATCGCAGTAGAAGCCTCAGAGTTATCTCCAATGTATTCTTTTGCTTCACCTCCCCACCTCACCTGCAGCCAGGGCTGGTCCCTTGCAAAGTTGTGCTGATGTCACATTTGGGTTTCTCCAGCTTACCCATCTCTGCGGTACTTCTGCCTCGGTTCAGAGACCTCCCTCTTTCCTGGCCAGTTCCAGCAGCTGCCTGGCTGCCTTCCGCCTCTCCTTCTCTCCACTAGTTCTTCTGTGTTGCTACTTGAGTTATCTTTCAAAACCACAGACCACTTTCCCATAGGAGAGTGTCTCAGAATGATTCGGCGTGAGATAGTCCCCACTCCCCACATGGCACACATCTTCAGAGCTGCCCAGCCTGCCTCTCTGTCTCATTCCCAGCCATTGTCTTATGCACACCCTCTCTTCTACAGCTCTACCTTCCCTCCCCTGCGGTTGCTAAGGCCTCCCACATAGCTTGTCACTGTGTGAGCAGGGTCTCTCCTTCCGAGTCCCTTGCTCCATCCCTTAAGCGGTAATTTAGGCAAAGTGTCTGTATTGCAGTGGCACTATTTATTGTAGAAGCATATAAGGGCGCAGTCCTGCAGTTTCCTAGTTATTATCTGTGTTCTCACTGGGTCTTACTTATTTTTAAATCCTGATAATCAAGAACCTTTCCTGACACGTACTAGGCACCCAGCTAAAATGTTCCTCGAATGGTTGCATCAGACAAGGATCATTTAGATATTTTCAAAGTCAGGGCAGCTTAAGATACTACAATGTAGCATTTGTACTTAAGACAACTGTATACATAGAATTTATCTTTACATGTTTCTCTGTGTGTGTGTGTGTGTGTGTGTGTGTGTGTGTGTGTGTGTGTGTGTGTGTGTGTTTAATAAGAGAAAGATGATTTGAGCTCTTTCGTTCAAAGAACGGGCCGTTATATTGGATTTTCTCCATCCTTGCTGCTATTATATTATTCTTCTACTCCTGCCTACCATCTCTTTTTTGAATGACTGTATTTGAATATGGANCTTTTCCAACAACCCAATATAAAGGATAGTGCTGTCATGAGCTGTATAGAAATTGCAGGGTTTACTCATAGCTATAACTTGTTGAAATTCTAAAATTGACTAGGTTTGCTTTAAATGTTTAAATTTAGTCCTAATTAGAGGTTTGCATTAGCTCAGGTAGTTGATGGGTAGGCGAGTAAATAAGTAGCTTAATAAGAAATCCTATAGATCGTCTTCTAATGTAGCTTAAAATTTTTTTATCATTGCATTTTTGTCATTGTGTTCAAGGAAAGATTTTAAATTATGACAGTACATTTTGTGTGGTATTATATTTCACTGGAGAAAATTTTTCTCTAGAATGGATTGCTTATGTGTATGAATATATCACTCTCATAAGCATTCCCTAATTTATCTGTAAAGTAGGCAGTCATTAAAGCATTGGCTTGGATAAAAGGCCTCTAATGCAGAATAATTGGTATATTAAATTCCTTTTAAACAGATCAAAATAACAGTGGCAACTAAAACAACTCATAAATATTTCAAGCCCAAGTTTGCAATAGTGTACTTTTAGTAGAAGTTAGTATTTTGAAGCACTCCTTGAAGAAATTTCCTTTTTTATTTTTATTTTTTTTAAAGCAGTCCCTAATTGCAGATATTTGGTTTCATTTTGGTAACCTGCCAAGGAATTAATGTGCGCATGGGGCTCACTCTGTGTAAGAGTCAATTTCAGGGATTTCCACACACACCTGCCTCTCTCTCACGTTGTAGACAAGCCCTCCCCTTTTGAGGCCCTTTCTGAAAGCAAAGCCACAGTAGTAGTTAGAATGGCAACCTGAGCATGGATCCCAGCCCTATGACCAACGCCCTCAGGCCAGCCCCCATTACTACCCTCCCTGAGCCTCAGTTTCTTTACGTGTAAAATGGGTATTTTCACCACCTTAGAAGGTCATGGTGAGGATTATATGTATAATGTGCAATGCAGTCCCGGGCCGACGGGAGGTACGGTACTCAGTAAATGGTAGTAGCTAGTACTGTTCTTTCAAGAACGGTTTCCGAAGCCCCACTTAGGTCCTTTGTGTGCAAGTGATGGAGAATGCCTCTTGCTTCCAGGAAACGGCACCAGGTACGACCTGACCCCAGTCACAGCCGTCAGCGTCCACTTGCTCAGCAGCGATGGAACACCGGTGCTGGTGGATGGTCCCATTTATGTCACCGTGCCCCTGGCCACACAGAGCAGCTTGAGGCACAATGCCTATGTCGCAGCGTGGCGCTTTGACCAGAAGCTGGGTAAGCAAGTGTCCTGGGCCAATGGTTGGCTAACAGTTGACTTCATTACTGTTGGACTTTCCTTTCAAGAGAACTGTGCAAGTCTCCTGTTCTAGAAGGCATTCAATGCCACTGCTCGCTGAGCACTGCGTGGTTTCTGGTGGGTAAAGCTAACTCGACCGTGACCTTTAGGCATGTTCTGTGGAGCTCTTTTCTTTTCTTTTTTTTTCTTTCCTTTTTTGCACATTTAAGCTAATTTACTTGAAAAGAATCTTTAAAAATTATTAGAGCCAAAATTGGCTCTCCTTTATCCTTTTATTCTGTCGAAGGCCATATGGCCTCTCTTGGTCCTACAGTTTTTCTTTTTCTGTTTTCTGAAAAAGGAAAAACGTTGCCACCATTATACCAAAAAAATAAAAATAAAAAACAGAAAAGGAAAAGCTACCCATAATTCACCACTTAGAGAAGACCACTAATAGCATTTTGGATTATATCCTTCTAGTCATCCACTATGCAGGGATGTATTTGTTATCTATTGCTGCGTAACAAATTGCCCCCAAACGCATCATCTTTAAACAACAGTGAACACCTGTTGTCTCACATTTTGGGAGGGTCAGGAGCCC